AAGCATATTTTATCTATTCTTTGCTTCGTGATTAGGCCTTTCATTAGTTCTCTTCGTGCTGCTAATCTTTTTTGTGGGTCACTTCCAAAAATCGTATTCTCTATTTCTTTGGTGTCTGAGATCTTTAGATCTGCTTTTTCTTTCTTGGCCTTTTCTTTGAATAGAATAGTTATCTCTGCTTCGATAATGCTTCATAGTCATTGTAGTTCTGAACATTCTGCCAAATGATCTTGTGTTTCAATTTTTTTCCCCCAGCATATCTTGCATTTGTCATCTGGGTAGATATCCGCTCTTTTTTGGTGTAAAGTTTGCATTGTTGGAAGGAGATTGTTTAGGCACTTGATCTTGAACACCCATTTTTTGTTTACTTTGGAGCTTTTACAGTTGCTGCCTTTAAATTGATCTATGTTGCTCCAAACCTCTTTCCAATCAACTATGCTTGCATCCTGCTTAGTTTCTACCCACTTTTTAGGTTTTTCCACTCTGCATCGATACTAACTGCAGTGAGTTGTGTGATGAAGCTTCTTGTTGCATCGTCTACTCTTAGGTTTTTCCACTTGAGTTCAGATTTTGCTTGTTTGCTCCATGGCCATTTCGGGGAGATAGGTGTAGCATATAGAGCATCTTCTTTTGTGAGAATATCTGCTTCATTATTTTCTTTTATTCCACTATGTGCTTTAACTTTTCCTAATCTAATTTGTAGCTCCTTTAACTTGACTGTATACTGTATTTGCTCCAAGAGGCATTGATTTTTCTTTTTGACCACATTATATGTTCTTTTCGGGCTCAGGCTTGCTTGAATTGTCTGTATTGCCGCTGCACTATCAGTTAATATTTCGACTGCTAACTTGTATGGAGCTGCTAAGAGAGCTGTCCATATTGCACCTAGCTCGGCTCTTGTGGATAATGGCCAGTCCTTAATTGCACCCTGGAATCTGGCTATTACATTCTTATGCTGAAATAGCAATCTAACCCAAACCTATTTTCCTTTTTTCCGGTTCTTCTACTGGGTTTAGCAACGAGCCATCTGTATAAAATGTGATTCGCTTTCTACCTCTTAACTGAGATGCTATTTCTTTAATCTCACTTATAGCTTGTGTGTCTTCGAGAGCTTAATTTATGATTTCTTCTTCTAGTGGATAAATAGGTATATTCTCAACTAAAGATTCTTGTAAACTCCTCGTTATGTTTAGACTTTCCTCAAATTGCTGTGATGTATTTATGATACTGCTAAGTGGAGTGACTAATTTCCATATCTGGTCTTGGGTAAATATTTTTTGTACTATCTTTGGAGGAATTCTCTGCATCTTGTTTTTCTTTAACCTTCTCATACAGGAGATTTTATCTCCTGAATGCTTTGTTGAACCAAATTCGCAGCCTTTACATTTAACCAGTTTGACTAATATTTCATGTAGCTCTTCTATGTGTTCCCAGTATTCTACCAAGATGGTTTTCTTTCCCTTTTTCTTTGCAATTTTCCCTATTACTGTCTTGTTTTTGGCCTTGAGGAGTACCTATTCTTTTTTCCTTTTATCGTTACTTATTGGTGTTAAATCTATTTTGAGAGACAGACAATTGGTTGTCTTGGTTCTAAACTCTGCTTTGATTTCTCTACTTATTGGGTTTTCAATTATCTTTTCCTCTAACTTTTTAACCTATAATAGAGTTTTTCCCCTTGCTTTTTGCCTCTTGCATTTTTTGATCTGGCCCCAAGTGAGCATTTTCTGACCTGTACTGTTCAGTATCTGCTCTATCACCATGATACCTGTTTCTTTCTCTTGTATGAAACCTTTTACCATTTTCTCATCTAGAAAATTTATGATTTCTACTTTAGCTTCTCCAAGCTTAAGGCTTTCCTCCTTTTCTCTAGATCTTATACTTATATTTAAGTTCTTTACTTCGCTCAGAATTTTATATGCTAGGTTTTGTTTGAGCTTAACCTTTTTTAGTTTTGCTGAATCCAGGCTTGTTATGCACTAAGTGCTTTTGCAATCTATCTGAGCCTGTTGGATTCTGATCCACGTGGCTTTGCCAATTTCATTGTTCTTATTTATACGTTTTCTTAGCTCTGTGATATGATGGGCCATTTGATTCTGCCAGATAGTTTTAAGGCCGACTATATTTCTATGTGCCAAGATTGCATTTGCTATAGTAATGGCTAAGCTGAATTTGTTTTTAATTAGCTTTAAGATAGGGCTTTGAAGTTTGTCGCATTGCTCTTTTGAGATTATACAGTGTTGTAAATGGTACTCCAATCTTGGAATAAGTACCCTATTATTAATATAGACGAGTTGTGCTAACAAGGTGTTTTTCTTGTAGATTGCTATATTGATTGCTTGTATTTCTTTCTTTGCAATACTTCTAATATGCGACTGACTATGTTTTTTTGAAAGCCAAATACCGAGAAATCTTGTTAGCTCGCTTGCTTTCTTTTTGAATACTTTTGCTTTTGGTGTGCCAAATTCTATATATCTAGGCTCTTTTATTTTTCCCCATCTATTATAAGCAACTCCGACTTCTTGCTATTGATTTCGATATCGTTTATTTTATAAAAATCTTGTGCTATGCTAATCGTTTCTTCTAGTTCTTCTTTGCTAGATGCTACGAAGGTTGTGTCGTTAGCGTATGCAATTACAGGGATTCTTAAGCTTTGCTGCCGTGTGTGATTTCTGCTCAAGTCAATTGGCCAGTTCACCTCAAGTTCGTAACTACGCCTTTTGTTTTCTTAAATTTCTGTCAACAGGAGGTCATAGAATATCCTCCATACGAGAGAAGAGATTACTTCTCCTTAATCAATCCTATCCCCTGCTACAAATCTTTGGGTGGTTCCTAGGCTTGTTAAAATCTTCATTTCCCGGTTATTGAAGAGGTTTATGATGAAGCGTATTAGCGGCTCTGGGATTTTGATTCTTTGTAGTGCGATTGTAAGTATTTTTAGCCCCACGAAGTCGAATGCCTTCTTCATGTCCTGGAATAAGAGCTATATTTCCTTCTTCTTTTTTTTCGCTTCCTCTACTAAGCAGTTAATGAGATGCACTGGTGCTGCTGTGTCCTCTCCTAGGAGGCCCGCAAAATTTCTGCCTTTTAGTACTTCTTTTTCACTAAGAATTTTTGCTAGCCTGTTTGTGATTACTCTTACTACTGTTTTCCGAAATGATTCTAACAGTAGGATCAGCTACACATTGTTTAGGTTGTAACACCAGTCTTCAGTCTTGGGTATTGGGTACAGAATACCTAGTTTCTACTTTTTCGGCATAGTACCTTTTTCTGTGCACCTGGATGCAAAATCGAGGAAGAATCTTCTTGTAGTAGAGCTTACATTTCTTATTAGTGGGTATGTGATACCTGTTCTTCCTGGGGCTGACTTGGTTTTGACTTGCTCCAGCGCCTGCTTCCATTCCGCTGGACTAATCTTATTTGTGGTATTTTTATACCAAAACTCATCTATATCTTCTTGTGGAGCGTACTGGTTTCTCCACCTTACCAGCATGGCCTCTATCTGTATTGTATTTCTTGTACAAAATTGCTTTTCAAAATGTTCTTTGACCTCTTTTAATACACCTTCTGGCTCGTAAATTAATTCTGCTTCTTCTTCTGTCTTCTTAACTACCCTGTCTATTTTGATACTTCTATGAGGTCAGTCTAAAAGGCTATTGAGCATTTTCCATTGGTTGGTGACAATTATACTGTGCCTCTCTTCTATACTTTCTCTAATTTCTGCTTCTTCAATACTTCTGATTCTTTTGCACCACTCCTTGTGCAGTATTTTTGCCTAGTTTTTAAAACCCTCTGAGCTTAGTACATCTGTTTCGTCTTCTATATCATTACCAATTAGGGAATCAACCTTTTCTAATACACTAAGTATGTTGTTTTTGATTATGTCTTGTAGTGGTCCTTTCTTCGCTTTACGGTAGCCTTTGTTGCATACTTTAACTGCTAGTTTTAGTGCTCGTACCTCATCACTCTCTTTGCTAATCTTCATGATTTCTGGTGATTTCTCCCTTTTTGGAAGGTTTGTGTTTGCTGCTATTCTGATGCATTCTTCAATTATATCTCATTCTTAATCTATGTTCTTGGGTTTGCGCTTGTTCTAGTGATCTTTTATCTTCTTTTTAAGACTTTCTTTATACTGGCTTCAATCCTTTTTAGAGGCCTTACTTAAATCTAAGTTGACTTTTTTTCTGTTTTCTTGCCTTCTCTTGGCTGCCCTGTTTTCCTTATTTCAAGTTCTGTAGCAATACTTGCTCTTATCAATTTGTGATCACTCATAGTGCAGAGATCCATATTGTCAATTTTGGTATAAATTATACTGCTTTTTCATCTATTTGATACCTATATATAGTCAATTCTAGTTTCTGTTTTTTTGTTTGACCAGGTTGGAGTGCGAGCCAGGTCTTGCACATCATACATATTCTTTTCTTTTAGAAGTGCTATGATTTGCTGTTTTATCTTGGACTTAGTATTTGTACTTTCCACTTCGCTATCTGCTGGGTTTGGTATAATGACATTAAGATCTCCCAAGATTATAAAGCACTGTAACTTTTTGTTGGGTTTTTCTAGAGTATTTCTGAGCATATGCAGAATTTCTTTTTGTCTTGTTTTGTCATTTAGAGCAATGTACAAAAAGATTATAATTATTACCAGGCCCTTAAAGTCCAGACTGAGTTTTAAAAAATATGGGTTATCTCGTGATATATGTGTAATATGTTGTTCCTAATGTTTTTTGATCAGCACCCCTAGGCCTGATCCTTTTTTCTTGCCCTTTTCAGAACTTGTCCAAAAACTTTTATATATCTTCGTGTCTTTTGCTGCGAAAATACCTTCTACATTGCTGATATTGGTTTCCCCTAAACCCAAAATGTCTATTTTCTTCTCTTCTGCAAAATCTATTACTGTCTTTAGTTTGTTTTTATTGTTTTTTATCTCACTAATATTATGAAACCCAATATTTAATACCCCGAATTGTTCATATATTGCAGCTTTTTCTTCTATTACTTTACAGAGCCTTCTCTCTGGACCTTCTCCTAGTAGCTCTCTTTCTTTACCCTTTTGAGATCCAGAGTGATTATTTAATGTGTCTTTGGTGCCCTTAAGAGCAATAAGCTAAGGTGCCTCCCGCCGAAGGCCCTTTTGATTTTCAAGCTTGTTGAGTCTGTCTAGAATTTGTGACAGCATGTTATGAATTGAGTTGTTGCCTTTGGGGTCTGAATTATCCATAGGTTTAGTTTTCTTTTAGTGTCTGGGCAGCCGGTTTTCTTTTCTGTGGTCTTTCTTTACCGGTTGACTACTGTGCTTTGCTGATTTTACTGTGTTTCCACTAGTTCTTTGTACAAGGGCCCTATTAACTTTGGGCTTTCTTTCTTCTTTGCCTATTAAGCCTTGGTCTTCTTTTTTCCTTTTGGCTTCTATACTGCTAAACCCTTCTAATTCTTCTCTTTCTTTCCCTTTTTTTTTGGCTAGTGGATCTTGCAGTTGAGTTTTTTTTGTGGAGCTAATTGCTTCTATAGCTTCCTCTCTCATATTCCTCTGCCAAAATTCGCCATTCTAGTTTAGTATTAAAATAGTATAGGCCTGCCTCTTGGGCTTGTATTATATCTTCTCTAGATTTAAAGTATATATATGCTCTTTTGTTGTGATTACCATGCCGATTCTCTAAAGTGTGGACTGCCTGTACCTTGTATTTTTTTTTAGTTGGCGCAGGAGTAGACTGTCATATGCGGTTCTTGGAACGTTATAAATCATACTTTTAAATCTGTTTCTTTCTTCAAGCTCTGTGTGGTTGAATTTTCCTGGCGTTGTTCTGTATGTTCTGCCATGTCCTAGCTAAACTGACCAGCTTTCTCTCAATGCACTCTCTTGGCTTTCTATATTGCACACTATTTTAATATATACTTCTTTTGTAGAGAAGCTATGTTGCCAGGCCAAAAGTGTTGCTGAGCCAAAAAATTCTAAATAGTTCTTGATTTCATTACCACATATTTCTTTTGGGATGTCCCATAATGTAAACAAGTACTGTGACTTATTTGTGTTCTTTTTGTTGCTGAATTTCTCTCTTGGCACCCAAACTGAGTTGTATATATTCTTTTAGATCTTTTATTATACTTCTTGGCTTCTGACTCTTTACTGTTAAATACCCCTTCGGCAATTTTCTCTTCGAGCCCATAATCTGTAGTGCCACACTCACTTTTGACTAAAGCATTTATTTTAATCTCGAGATTACTTTTGGCTATTTGCTCATTAATCTCATGCCCCGAGAAATTTCTTTTGCGTGTAATGCCTTGATTTTCGGCTAGTACAGGCTCATTGTGCTGAGGTTTTATTATCTTGGAGTTCGTCAAGCTAGCCACTATTGGGACTGCTTCGGAGTCTCTACTAGCTTCTAATTTTTGTAAATTTTCTAGAGTAGTGTTGTATCCAAGGAGGCTTCTTTTCTCAGCAGATATTTCTTGTTCTCTAATTTCTTTGTGTCAAGCCCAGTCGTATAGATGTAACACATTGTGTATAGTTGCTATTAGATAGGTATTCTCTGTGTTTAAATATTTTGCAATGTGTCTGTCCTCTTTTAATATCATTGCATACAGCCCACCAAACAGTGCCAATTTCTCTTCATCTGTTTTTTTAAAGAAGTTCTTGTATTTTATTAACTCTGTCATCTCTTGCACTTTTGCTTCATGTGATTTGTGTTGCACCTAGTTGCTTAAAGTGTCCTAAACATGATATTTTACTGCCGGGCTTGGTGTCTAAATGTACGTGTTTTTACGTGTTTTTCACATGATTTTACGTATTATATCTATGTCTTTACTTGTATATAGTTGTGTGGCTTTGTGTAATACAGCTGCATTACACCAGAGATCTGCAATACAGGGTTATCGCTATTTTCCCTAATGTTATCAATGCGAGAAAAGTTTTTAACAATGACAAGAAAAAGCCTTTAACTGCTCCTCTTATACTCTAGTATTGTTGTGTTTTCCGGCTTTGCTAGCTCTTCTTTCTCCCTGTGACTATATATTGCCAATTGTATTTTGTTTCGCTTCAATATCGATGTGCAGCGGTTAACCTTATACTATGGCTTTTTCTTCTTTTTACTTGTTTAGTTGACTGTTGCCGGCTTGTTGCTAATTAGATACTTCTTGCAGTTTCTTTTTCTGTATACTGTTGCGTTTGTTACTGTGTATATTGCTGTGTTTTATTGTAATAAAAGCTTTTGTCTTTCCGCTGTTTTTGGTGTCGAATGATCGTTAGAGAGAGTGTGAATTACTTAATATATCAAATATATTAACATAATTTATTTATTATTTATTTTGTTTTACATATAATTTTTAACTTTTTTTAGTTATATAGCTATTTGAAAACATTATAAATTTCATTATGAAACAAATTAAGAAAAAAAATTGGTTGAAATAAAAAATTTATACAGAATATACTGCAGAAATAGAGTTTATTATAGATGTTCTCTGGTGGTTGTAAGTAATTTAAATAATAATTTATTATATAATTATTTAAACTCTTTATTTACTTTTCATTTATTACTAAATTAATTTAATTTTAAAGCTCTACCAATATATTTAATAACACATCCCTATTTCATAGCAGGTACAAAAATAAGGTACTTTTAGAGTTTTCAATGATCCACCTAATTCTACAGTATTTGAGTAATGTGATCAACAGTATTTACATTCCATATGTTAATATAATTTTATATATGTTATATTTTTTTTAAAAGTATTAAAATCCAAAATTTTTTTAAACACAATAAAAGAGGCAATATTTATTTAAAAGCTAGTGCCAACCAAAGACTATTAAAGTGCAATTTAAGCCTAAATATAATAAACCTTTGGGGATGAAAATTGATAGTATGTTCTATACTGCTGGAGAGCAGGGATCCAAATTAGAATTATCAGAAAAATACTTGATAGTAGATTTATCTAGATATGGGGTGAGTTAATAAAAATCAAGCAAATTTTTTATAATAAAATTTTTTTATAACTTTAAACAAGAATAATTTAACAAAAACTTGACCAAATTTAATAAAAATTTTTTTAAATGATTTTTACAAACTTGTAGAATTAATTTAAAAAAAATTTTATTAAATTTGATCAAGTTTTTGTTAAGTTATTCTTGTTTAAAATTTTAAAAAACTCATTAAAAAAAATTTGCTTGGTTTCTATTAACTCAACCTCATATATTAAAGATCACATCAAAGACTGCTGGAGTTGTCAAGATATTTTAAACAATATCACTATGAAATATAACCATGGTGATTATCAAATTTTGCATAAGCTACAATCATGGTTCTTTCACATTTATGATAAGTTAATAAATAAATACTGTATATAACTTTTTTTTTTTTCTAATTGAGTTTTCGATTATGCAATATAGGGTTAAAGGTGCAAATCTAGAAGATGGATATACCCTCATTGTAAGTCTACAGAATGTTTCTAATTGGTTCATTTAATCTGCCGATTTCTTGGGAGAAACATCATGAATTAGTATATACTTTATATTTCCTGTGGAATTTGGGAGTAAATAGGAACTGAATGCTCTTTTGTATATTAAAACATTTAAGAATTTTAATTATTATATAGAAAGGATTGGACAAATCTATGAAAGTGTTAAATGATCTCAAAAAATCTCACAAACAAAATACAGGATTGTATACTCATTTTTCATTGCTTAAAGTATATATTGGTGAGCTTAATACGAATTCGCTACTCAACCCTATTGGTAAACAAGCTCAGTTAATTAACCTATACAAAACTAGTGAAAGTAGCAATAGCACAAATAGCACAAATAGCATGCCTACTCCATCTATCTATTAAATAGACTAAACTTCTGTATGTTATAACTAATAGACTGAGCAATATATTGTTATAGAACGAATTAATTATTAGTTTATTATTTTATTATTATTATTTATCAATTATTATCTTAGAATATTATTATTATTATTATTATCTTGAATTATTATTAACATGTCGCTCAGTTGCTTAGTCACTTAGTCGCTCAGTCGCTTAGTCGTTTAACTATATAGTCGCTTAGTTGCTTTGTTGCTCAGTCGCTTAGCTCACAGATATATAAACCCCACTAATTTCCCCAAGTTAGAACAAGCAACAAACACCCCTCTTTCCTTTATTTTTGTAAACAATATTTAGGATTCTTTAGGAATAGATACCTAAGGATAGCCTTGTATTCTTTATACTTAATAAACGACTCTTTGACTATAAACTGTTTAGATATTCCCCCTCTAGGGTAATTCCTACAGGCAAGGTTTATCTCTCTCTTGTGTTAATAAGTTATTATTGTTATTGTATTTCCCCATGAACTGCCTTAGAGAAGGATATAGTTTCTTAAAGAGAAAAGAAGCTATACTTACCTCTTGAACACCGCATATACCTACGAAAGGATTCTCTGTACCGTGTCGTCGTTATAGAGTAAATTAAGAAGGCTTTACTCTGTAACAATAGGAAATTAATAGACACTTTTCATTATCTCTACCCACACAAAAAGGAGTATACCTGGCAATGAGATGATCTGGCATCCCAAATAGATTATATATGGATAGGTGAAGAAATGAGTAACTTACTATCTAAAGCTGCAATTGAAGACATAAACTTAATCACTGAAAGTGATCACAAGCTCATATGGTCCAAAATTGAAACTAGTGGCATACTAAATTACAGCAAACTTAAAAACAGAAAAGGCAAAGGAAAGCCAACAAGAAGAGTCTTTCTTTACCACAAAGCTACAAAAGAGAACTGGGATCTGTATAGCAAGTGCATTAAAAATCTAATAAGGGAAAAAGTGCACAAGGGACCCCACAAGCCTCTGTATTGCTGCAACAAAGACATTAATGTAGAATGTGACATTTTAAGTAATGCAATCATGAAAGCAGCAATGAAATACATACTATCAGTCAATATTCAAAAAACCTAGATCCAGGAGAAAATATCAGTCCCCAGCTCTAATATTTACAAAGAGGTCAAATTTTTATATTATTTACAAAAGAAAAGTTACACACATTATGGGGAAAAATAAGTAGTGCCAACAGGAAAAAGTTTGACACACACATCAAATGCAAATTCCACAAATGCCAGAATATTAGAGCCAGATAGAAATAAATGAACTTAGAAATTGGGAATGATTTTGAGGAAAAAAAGCAGAAGAAGAAGAATGCAGAAGAAAAAAAATAAGAAATAAAATAGAACAAAGATTTAATATGATGAAAAAGATAAAAAAAAAGAGTGCTACAAAGTTTGCTAAATAGAGATACAACAAAGTAATGCTAGATAGAGTTCTTGTTGAAGAAGAATCTGACTGCCAGAACTTAGAACTCATTAATAGAGAGACTGAGTTGAAGCAACAAGTTACCTCATATAATTTCGGAAAAGAAACCAAAAGTTTGAAGAGATGAGCCAGGAATGGAAAAATGAGTACATGCTGAAAAGAAACATGAACTCATTTATATACGAAAAAGTAATGAGTTCAATCAGCAAAGAAGAATGGACACAAGCTCTAAGCAA